CAAGGCCTACTCTTCGCCTCTTGTCCTTCTAAACTTTCTTTTCGTCGAATCCCATACCTGCTTGGAGGCATATTTCTGAAGGATGGTTTTCAAGATCGATTGAAAGAGGTAGTTTTTCACCTTTAGATCCTTCAACTTCATTTTTCTTCCAAGGTTTTCTCTTGCGTTGTTGTTAACTTCTCTCCACCAACAGGTTCAGTATAACTTGTTTCAATGAAACCCGGTCCTTACTGTGTTTCACTTAAAAAATCTTCTTCCATTGCTAGGATACTGCGGTTCATAACTCCTCTCACTCAGGCCTTTTTATATCGGGGCTCTGGTACCAGTTGGGGCGCACGGGATAGCACAAACTGCACATTGATATGATATTCTCCAAATTGGACCAAACTCAATTGGTTTTACTCTTGGGTTTCCCCAAAAGGCTCAATACCAATAGAGTTGATATCCCTATATTATAAACCATTGACCTTTCCCATATTTAACCGATATGGGACTTGGTTCGCACCTCAACAAAAACACTGTAGCAATCCCAAATAAGTGTTTGGCGTCTTCAGTTTGCGGTGTCCGGTTGGAGTTGCCCTAATAATCTCCCACTTGAAGACCGATCTCAACTGTTCTTCACACAATTAAAGCTGCAACCAATCTCTATCAGGTGGTAATATGCAAATGAAATATATTTTTCGTAGCAAAATGCTATTAATTCTTGTTTATGTTGTGTATAATATGGAAAAATGGGTCTTTCTATGATGATAATGTACGCGGGTACTGGTGAATGATGGTTAGGAATACGTGGGATAGTGTTTTGACTTAGTATATCATTAGTGGTAGATAAGTAGTAGCTTAAGTAGTTGATAATATTTCCTATTTATCAGTTTATTGTTTATCTTGACAGTTACTATATTTATTGTAAGGCTATGTATATATATAGCTACAGTAGACGATAGGGGGATATACGAGAACATAATTATTTACTTAGTCTTCTTAGCTTATTCAACTTCTCTTCTTTCTTCTATTATTCTCTCTTGACAAATTATACCCTATCAAGTGGTATCAGAGCCACGTTCCATCGAAATAAATCCAATGCCGAGTTTCGCACCGATGTTTTCGATATCCTAGCTCGATACAAGTCAAATTTCGACCAATTACACAATACTCTCCATATTGTCCTCACCGAGCTTCAAGCTCTAAGGAATTCATCCAACCAACCTAAATCTCCCGACAATAATGTTAACCCCTTTGCTGTGGGAGAATCTTCACAAACATGCAACCAAAATACAGCCGTAGCTACAACAAGCACATCTCCAACTCTTATTCCAAATACAAATCTCAAGCTACAATTTTCGAGGTATAGTGGTGATGATCCAATGGGGTGGATATATAAGGCATAGCAGTATTTTGAATTCCAAAATATTAACGTAACAGGTTCAACTCGCTTCATGCACCTTGAGGGGATTGCCTTGTAGTGACATCGGTGTTTAACAAAGTTTCGAGGACCCTTATCGTGGGACGAGCTTTCCAAGGCTGTTTTGAGCCGCTTTGGTCCAACCGATTCTGAAAATCCTTCTGAAGCTCTCACGCGTCTCAAACAAACTACAAAAGTGGTTGTGTATCAGGAGGCCTTCGAAAAATTATCCGAACAAGTGAACGGTCTTCCGGAAAACTTTTTAATTGGTTGTTTTATTTCAGGTCTTTCCGATGAGATTCGCCTTGATGTGAAAATTAAACAGCCGAAATCTCTAGTAGATGCGATAGGCGTTGCAAGACTCGCGGAGGAAAGAAATATGCTGCAACAAAAATTTTCGCAACCCATTTGCTCACAAACTACACCGACAAGCTCGAGAGTCACAACCAATTTCATGTCGGGAATGTTAGGCCCTCCACCCACCACATCAAATACCTAACCAACAATCGACAATCCAAATATCTCGCCACCCACCTTCACAAAGTTAACTGGTCAAGAAGCCCATGAACGGAGACAAAAAGGTTTGTGCTACTATTGCGATGAAAAATTCACACCAAATCATCGTTGTCAACGACTTCAGTTGTATATGATCGAGGATGTGCCATTCGAGAATTATGACACACCAAACAATCAAAACAACCCCTTACACATTTCCAGGTTATATCCTTGAGGACAAGGATTCTTCGAGCGGTGGGGAATGATATGTTCCAACAATGTACGTAAGTACTGGTGAATGGTGGTTAGGAATACATGGGATAGTGTTTTAACTTAGTATATCATTATTGGTAGATAAGTAATGGCTTAATTAGTTGATAATATTTCCTATTTATCCGTTTGTTATTTAGCTTGGTAGTTAATATATATATATATATATATATATATATATATATATATATATATATATGATAGGGGATATAGGAGAACGCAATTATTTACTTAGCCAAGATAAAATTAAATAATCTAATGAAACCCAATTGTTTTATTGTACATTGGAAGGTCCAACAAAAAAACATGCTTAAAAGGTAACATAAGCCACGATCACATAATGTTTGTGGGTCGACCCGTCAAGTTATTGGGAATACCAAACATTCAACAAAGTCCAACTCTTTAGTTAATCACGGATAATCTCCCCAACCAAACGGAGCCTTAATCTTCTTCTCTTATTCAACTTCTCTTCTTGCTTCTATTATTCTCTCTTCACAAATTATACCCTATCAATTCTCAACTTCTCACCACCCCATTATCCCCACACTTTGTAGTGGTTGTAACTCCTATGTAACTCCTTTCTAACTTCCGGTGGATTACACCTATATACATGAGAATCTTCCCTCCCCGAAACACCCACAATTATCTCCCTATGTTTGTCTCTCTTGTTGTTCATTTGTGTTATCTCGTTCTTCTCTCTCTATAATTGTTATTTACGTTCTTATTCACAAACCAAAGAGCTAGATTAAATATGGCATATTATAACAGTTTAAATAAAAAATAATGAATATTGTTTTTCTTAATCATTGAATATCTTAATTCTAAAAACACGTCAACTTGATTTTTCGGGGTTTAATTATTTTAATATGATATTTATTTAAAAACAAATATCTAATTTTTAAAGGGATCATTACAAATAAGCCCATCAATGGGTACTTATTCATAAAAAGATCAAGACAAAAAATTCCTTTACAAATAAGTCCACACATGGTCCACATTTTTGTAAAGGACTAAAATTGCCCTGATACCTTAATATGCTCCAATTTTATCCTTAATTTAATTTAACCTCAATTTGACCCCAAATTTCACAAATTATTCAATTTTGACCCAAAACGTTTTTTTTTCAAACAATATTTTTTGCCGATGGATTCCGGCATTGTCTTTTCGATTATTTTTTTTATTTTTTATTTTTTTTCTGTAACATTTTTTTTCGTTTAAACAACAATATTGTTGTGATTGACAATAATATTAACTATATTACTGTTAAACACAACAAAATTAACTAAACTACATTTTAACACAATAATTTTGCTATATTAATCTCTAGCACGGTAATATTAACACAACAAAACTCATTATTATTGTGTAATAGAGTAATATTACTATGTTGACCGTTCAACAAATGTAAACATAATAAAAAGATCAAAGAATTAATATTATTGTGACTGACAGTAATATTACTATAACAACAGTAATATTACCATCAACCACAGTAATATTACAATAATAGACAGTAATATTATTACGTTACTCCATGAATAACTCAAACAAATAAAAAAATCCAAACAAAATAATAATAATGATGTGGTTGACAGCAATATTACTATAACAACAGTAATATTACCGTCAACCACAGTAATATTATTGTGTTTACAGTAATATTACAATAATAGACAGTAATATTATTACATTACTCCGCGAATAACTCAAACAAAACAAAAAACCCAAAAAAATAATAATATTGATGTTGTTGACAGTAATATTATTGTGTTTACAGTTACTTTACTGTCAACGACAGTAAATTGACTTGTCAACAAATCAAACAAAATAAAAAAAAAATAACAAAAAATAAAAAATAATAATAATACGTTAATTTACTGTCAACGGCAGAACAATGACATAAATGTATTGTCAACGGCAGTACAATTACGTTAATTAACTGTCATTGACAGTATAATTACGTTAATTTACTGTCAGTGACAACACAATTACGGTCAACGTTTAGCGGCAGACGTAAAAAAAAAATCTAAAAAAACTACTAAAAAAGTCAACGCCAGAGGCCGGCGGCGGAAAAAAACAGACCAGAAAAAAGAAAAAAAAAATCAACGTCGGAGACCGGCGAAAAAATCCGGAAGAAAAAAAAGAAAAAAAAAAACCGAAAAGTCAACATAGGAATCCGGCGGCAAAAAAAAAATTGAAAAAAAAAAAGTTTTTGAAAAAAAAAGTCAAAATTGGATTTTTGTGGTAAAAATTGGATTTTTGTGGTCAAATTGATTAAATTGGGATTACAATTAAGAATTGAGTATAAATGGTTGGGGGTAATATTGTCATATACATGAATGTTTCCTTTATTTATAATAAATATTAAAGAGACGAGCTTATTGGTGAAAGATATATAACCCCTAAACCTTGAATAATAAAAATGTGGTTGGGGATTATGCACTAAAACCCTATTTTTTAATTATAATCTGAAATTTTATTATTTTAGTGCCAATATTTAAGGAGGAAATGTTGCAATAAAATTTTATATCTACAAATCACTTCAACCGTTGACTCAGCAGCCTTTGTAGAATATCATCCGCAATATTTCGATGGAAATTTTTATTTAATTTTTAAAATTTTATTTGGCTGTAAACATATAAGCCTCTGTTTTATTCGTGTCCAAATTGTAGACAAGTAAGAAAATATCGGGACATATCAATAATCATCACTCAATGACAAAAATATCCGATGAGATATATAATAATAATAATCCCTCTTAATTAAATTGAGTTGAATTTCGACTACAAATAAATTAATTAGCAACCAACCCCTTGTGCAGAGTGCAGTGTGTTTATTATCTATATCAATGGAGAGTGAATCTGTAAGAAGAAGAGCGAATGTTATTTCATCCCATTTATCAGCTTCTCCTTTTCAAGATTTATCACCCTCTGCCACCCACCTTTTTCCAATGGTACTTTACTTTCTATATATATATATATATATATATAATATATATATATACACTACTTCTTGCATATTTATTTATATATTTATTAGTTTTTTCTTACCAGAAATATTAGTTCAATAGATTTTCTGTTATTTAGAATATATTGGCTGCCTTAGCTTTTACTGAAATCATTTAGGCCTTTTGGTTTGTGTTATTTTGAAACAAAAGCAACAAAAAGAAGAAAGAAAAAAGAAACAAAAGAATTGACTATTGTATAAAGAAACAGGGAATACCTCTAAGCCTGATCTAAATTAGTTATAGTATAACAGAATATATAACTGCATCACTATTTCTCGTCGTTTTGAACACGAAATTTTTGCCATCTAAACGAAAAATTCGAACTTTTGGAATGAGGAACTTGTCAAACTTTTGTACCTCTGAGCACCGGACAACGTACAAAAGTATACGCCGGTCGTTAAGACGAGGTAGCCTGTTGGTAAGCACCTTGCACCTAAGCACATTTGGTCATGGGTTCGAGAAACGAGGAGGGGAATTGGGGAAACAGTAACTGTCCTCTCTCTTTAAATTATATAACTAATTGCCAACCGAAATGATGCATCAAATTTTTTGAAATAAACTTCACGGTTTGTTAGTAGCTTAATGGAGGTAACCGTCAAGAAACAAATAGCATGATTTTAATGCAACCGCTAGAAAAAACCGATGACAATATTATTTCCATCTCTTAGGCCCCGTTTGGTTGCCAAGATAAGCCATGATTAACTAAATAGTTGGACTTAATTTGATGTTTGGTATCCTCAATAACTTGCCGGGTCGACCCGCCAAAATTATATAATCATGGCTTATCTTGTCTTATCTTGGCTTATCTTGCCTTTTAATGAGTTTTTTTTGTTGGACCTTTCAAGCTCCAATAAAATAATTGGGTCTCATTAGATTATTTAGTCTTATCTTGGCTAATCTTATCTTGTCAACCAAACGGGGCCTTAGTGTTTTAAGTAAGCTCCCCTCCTTGTTATTTTGTTCTCGATAACCCGTAGAGAAGAATATTCCATAATACTTTTGAGTGTTTATTTATTATTTATTATTTTTTTCTATTGCTATACTATATAAATTTAGAGCTGTAGCAACGGTCTGAATTCTGTAATGCGGAGGTGTGACAACCGAACGTTCTTTGCTCGTCAAGGTTCTAATTCTCAAGGTTTCTACATGAGACAAGCCTCAACCGACCAGGTCAGAACGATGTCAAAGGGCGTTTTAGTCATTTCGTATGTTTGTTAATTTCCTAATTATAATATTTTTACATAAAATTGATGTAATTCGGTTATTTACCGAACCAAGTCGTTTATTCAGTTCGGTAAATGGTATGAAAATGTTGGCGCACCGAAATTTTGGTTCGGTTTTACCGATTTAATATCCCTAAATTTACCTCTAAAGGGGTATTTTCGTAAGATAATATATAGTTGAGGGGTGGCTGTAATTACCCAAACATGAGGGGGGTTTTCGTAATTTGACCATAACTCAGGGGTGGCCGTAATTTGCCCTAATTCTTATGGCTGACTGACTACATTTGCACAGGCAAAGGGATGTAATAATGCTCTTGAAGCACCTGCATTTTCAAGACCTGCAGCTAAGGTTGAAGGAAACCAATCTGCGGTACAAGGTTTCGTAAATGCCGACCCTAATCTAGAAGCTCCCATGTTTGCAAGGCCAAATCGTAAATATTCTGGCCTTGCATCGAAGGGTGAGTCAACGTGGTTGTTTGACTTTTTTTTTAATTCATATCTCGAGATGTATTTCTTTCATCGCTTAATTAGTCTTTTCAATAACATTAATACATCTCTTGCATTATTAATACATCCCTCAGGATTTGATTGGTCACCGAGAATGGATGTTGTAGAATCTGGATTGAGTTACGTTGTTACGTTAGAAATTCCCGGTGTTAGTATTGACAACATAAAAGTGGAGGTCGATGACCATACGTAAGATATACATATATATGCCATCTTTATAATTGATTTCGATGTTAATATTTTTTTTTTATTTTAAGAAAGTTTAGATGACAAAGATCATACGAACGAATGCTGGAATTGAATATCTTGTTTTGTATGTGACAGATTGATTGTAAACGGGACTCGGAAAAACTGGTCTTGTGGTGCGGCGTGTTCGAATAAGTCTTATCACACAAGGGAGATTTCAGAGGGTCCATACAGAATTGTATGGCCACTTCCCACTAATGCAAACAAGGACAATGTTTCAGCTGAAATTCAGTAAGTTTAATTCTGCTTTAGTAATAATATATAGGGTAAATTACAACCACCCCGAGGTATGGTCAATTTACGAAATCCCCCCTCATGTTTGGGTAATTACAACCACCCCCTCAACTATAAATCTGCTTACACGTCCACCCTTGCTGTTTCAAATTTAGTAGAATCTTCGAGATTATATGGAATATTATCACTTTTGTATCCGTTTTATCATATTCGAACTCCACATTTTAAAGCAAGATGATCATAAAATGTGTTTTTTGGCTTGTATATATCAGATTGTGGTGCATCAGAAACTGTATTTTTACATAAAACGAGTACAAACTAAAGCACATTCCACGAAATCTAGATGATTATGTTGAATTTGACACCATAAGGGTAGATGTGTAAGAAAAAATCATAGTTGGGGGTAGATGTAATTATCCAAACAAGAGGGTTTTTTTTTGTAAATTGACCATACCTTAGGGATGGTTGTAATTTACCCTAATATATATTGGCAAAGCTAGCTAGCTAGTAAATTGGCATCTAATTATGTATGTTATCTTTAATATTGATTTTAATTTGCAGGGATGGGCTTCTTCGGATTACGATTCCGAAACTTTCGGGGCTAAGGTGGCTGAGGAAGGCATACATGTAGGTTAAAAATATATACAGATATACAGTTACTACTATGTGTTAATTAGCAATGCCTATTGCATCTTAGTTCACTTCTTTTGTTATCAATCTCATATTGTTAATATGCACTAGTGTAACATATGATACATAAAAAGTAATGTTTATAAATAATGGAGTTTATGTATATACAAATATTGCACTTTTTATGAGTATTTTCTAGCAGCATGCCCCGAATTTGTGCTATTGTACAAGACAAATCAATATTTATATTTCTTAAGTGCTTGAGACAAAGATCATAAGAAGCAACATAAACCTACGCAAATCGAGACGGTCATCTCGATTTTGCCTTGAAATCACATACAGCCGTCCGAGTCGATGAAGAGGAGGAAATTGCTTACGCAAATTGAGACGGCCGTCCCAGTTTCTTCACCACAGTTCGGACGGCCGTCCGGGAAGGCGAATTTGCATAGGAAGGGAATTTTAATTGCACAAGGAAATCACTTATTTTCAACCAAGTCTTGGCACCTTATAAATAGCAACCTCAAGCACGAAAATAAAGATTTTTTATGCAATCTTAGAGCGCAGAACTACAGGCGAAGACGAAGACAATCGAAGATTCAATTGCATAGTTTTTCTTACTTTATTTATGAACTTGTATTATTAATTATAAGAATGACTACGAGTGCTAAACTCTTAGTCTCTAGGATTTTATTCAAACCAAAGTGGGATTTGTGAACTCAGTTCTATGATTTTATTCAACTTTTAATTTCGGATTACTTCTTCTACTTGTTTATTAAGTGCATGAAACTGACCACTTTATTTGCTTTATTGTTATTATTGAATACATGAATCGGAAGATCGGTTCAACAATTAGAATTGTGGTAGAAGAAATTTTATTGTGTTAGCATATGAATATAGTTATCCTCCTAGGTAGCCATTATTAAGATTTGTGCTTAATCTTTGTTCTTTATTTAATAACGTAGGAATGCAGTAATTCATTCTAGAATAATAGAATCATAATACACGCGAAAACATGTTATAATTAATTTAACATCTCAGGTTAGTAATCCGTGTTAATTCCTTGCATAATTGAGGGAATCGGAGGATCGATCAATAATCACATAGGGGAAAGATAAAATCGTAGGGTTTTCTTGTAAAACCCCGCGTTTTCGATACCCTGTTTCCGTATTTTTCCTCTTGTCTCCTTTACATGAATATGTGTTGGACGTGCGAATTTTTATTTTTTTAATAATTATTTAAACTGGGAGGGGTGGTTTTTTTGTAATTTTCAGACTTAGATCAAAGGGTGTTAAGTTCAAAGGTGTGAAAACTAACGGCGAGGGTCACATTGAGACAATTTTTCAAGTACAAGGGGACGAATCGATGCAATTGAGTGTATAAGGGGATAAAGTGGTATCGACCCAAAGTATAAGGGGGCAAATCGATGCAATTGAGTGTAAAGTGGGGTAAAGTGGTATCGAGGCAAAGTACAAGGGGGCAAATCGATGCAATATATTGAGAGTAGAAGGGGGTAAAGTGATATCGAACCAAAGTACAAGGAGGCAAATCGATACAATTGAGAGTAGAAGGGGTAAAGTGATAAGGAACCAAAGTACAAGAGGGGAAAGTGGCATTTACCCTAAAATTTAAGCAGTCTATACAACAAGCAAAGCCATTTTTATGAAATCTTAGAGCTTTATGAATATTCAAACCAATCATAACGTGTACATGTAATGCATCAACTTTCAGGAAATAAATACTCCAATAGATGAAAAGACAATTTCATCATAGTTTCAACTTTCAATAAAAACTGGGAGCCCTCTCATCAGTAATTGTTACTGCATTAATTAACTTACATTTTGATCAAATGCTGATTTTTCAACTAATCTAGAAAACATCACTAAATTGAATGAAAATTAAACTTACGTTCCTTGATGTAACAATGACCCTTGGTCTTAATTTTTAGACCTTATAAAAAGAGTAAGGGAGGGTCGAATTCTTTTATTCACATTTTTCACTTGCACAACCAACACACAACAAATTAAATTAATGTCTAATTCCAAAGATGTTAAGTTCTCCTTAAGAGTTTTTTTGCACAAACAGAAAACCAAAGTTCTTTTCGCCGAAGTTGAAAGTGATTTTGCGGATGTTTTGTTAAGCTTTTTGACATTGCCATTGGGAACAATCGTGAGGGTACTGAAGAAGCACTACGGAGAAGGTCAAGAGACACATGTCGTCAATATTGGAAGCTTAACCAATTTGTACGACAGCTTATCGAATCTCGACGGCGTCTATTTCTGGACAGAGGGTTGTAAGGAGGTGCTCCTCAATCCCACAAGTTCATTCCGAGACGAATGTCGTAAACTGAAACTTGATATAAGTGAAACTCAGCCCACTGAACATTTCACTTGTCCGTTACCGAAATGTTATGCATCTTGTAATATGGATTGTTTAAGTGTGTACTATGATACTTCAGAATGTAATTGTGGAAGAAAAAGGGTAAGAAAAATAGGTCCTCAAGCTATTAATCGTGCTGGTGGAATTTTTACCGTCGATATAGCGTCGTTTATTATCTCTGACGATCTTCGGGTATTCCCTAATTCGACTGGCTTCATTCACACACTCAGAAATCTTGGCATAACCGACATGGATTTGGGTGAGCTAAGGATTGTGACTTTTGGGTTCAGTGAGGTTAGTTTTTTTTTTTTTTTATTATTCTTTCTTGATTATTAATAATCTCTATTCTATTTTGTATATATTCACCTTTTTTTTTGTTATGTTATTTTTTTTTTTTGTTAAGTAGATTATGGATTTGCTTAAGGGATCGTTATTCTCCGGTACTCCACTGTCCGATGTTATACTCAACAAAAGACAGGTTGATCATTTTGCCACGGTAAAATGTGAACCAAGAATTTTATCTCTGAAGGAGAAAGAAGCAACTTCTAACTCAAAGAAGATAATTTTGAAAATTATGGTACGAAAGTCTACCAATAAGTTGTTGTTTGCTCGAGCAGGGCAAGATTTTATGGATTTTCTTTGTAGTTTGTTTGCCATCCCTTTTGGAGCAGTTGAATACCTTTTGGGTGGCAATACATCTCTTAAGGCTATAGACAATTTATACAGAAGCATAGTGATGTTTATTGATGAAAGTCATCTAGCAACACCATATATCAAAAATAGGCTAATCAAAGGGAAGTTGCGTCACGGTTATATTTCCAAATTTCAAATTCTTCCTCTCACCGAAGAAAGATTTTGCTATAGTACTGATGGTTATGTACCCGAAATGAGAAATTTTTCTTCTGTCAATTTTGTGAAAGGGCCGGGGAAATATATCAGGGGACCGACAATGTATAAGATAACTGATGATTTAACTGTAACACCTTTTTGTATGGCCTCAATTCTTTTGGGTTTCAAGGAGCAGAATATTCATTTATCTGACGTACAGGAATGGAGCTTGAGATAGGGCTACAAGAGGTACTAAAATACCCTTTTCTTTTCTTTTCTTTTTTTTTTTTTTTTTTTTTTTTTTTTAATTCATATATAGATAATAAAAACATGTATTTTAATTTTTGTTTGTAGGCTTTGAGTATATTGAAGGCATCTCTTACATCTGCTTCTTCTGCTCTAACCAATGGCCTCATGACCAATATCCTGTTAAAAAAGTAGCCTAAGCAACTAACTGTAGAGTTTCCTCCATCTGAAGATGTAAATGTTATCAGTTGTTTAAAGCTGAATTATTTAATGTTTTTGCAACTTTTATCCAATTGTTTCTAAATTCATAATTTATGTGTCACACTAATTATCCAATTGTGTGAGAGCTTCATATGTCACTCCTATTACAAGTATTCTCAGGAGCTGGAAAATATTACGAGAAATTCGTTGAATTAAGATCAATTAACAAGAAAATCCCTCATCTATCCGTCATTACGCAAAACTCCTTGAAGTTGGTTGTCGTCTTACATTGTTCCCATTCTAGTTTAAATTTGAAAATATTCGTCAATATGTTATCCTAAAACTAGACCTTAAATTGTGATTTTACAAGTTATATTGAATTGTATACATACTTTAGTTTCTAACTATATTTGTAAAAGAATCTTACAGCCCTAATTAAGCAGATTTATATAAAGAAAACGTGCTGATTAAGAACATAAATGTTATGATAATCTTTTTTGGGGTTGTCTAGGGTCCGAGAGAGGTTGTACTTCTCGGACCGAAACGACTGAATCTTGTGCGTAGAAAATATTTAATGAATATTTATAGCCGTTGATTTGAAGTACGACCTAGTACGATCCAATACGAACCTATGAATTTATAAATTAAAGTACGAACCTAGTAAGAATAGGTCGTACACACATTGTACTATGTTTAAATTACTTTATTGCCCTTATATATACATCAAATCAATTAATTTAAAAGAACCATTAATTCAATTTATTAATAAACGTAAAAAGAACTACAAGTTGTCAAAACTTTTCCCAAATCAAAATTCTCATCCCTAGTCGCCATCGGACATATTTCTTCCTCAATCTCACCGTCACCGTCGCCAAACTCAACCTCACCCTCGTCGAATTCCCTGGTAGTGCACAACGCGAAGACGCTCAACCGCAGGCCACCGCATTCGAGGTAACAGAGTTAATATTGGTGGGGAAGCGTGACTTCAAGCATTCGGCAGCCATGGATCCACCAATAGACATATCACTTTTTTTTTCTATCTTCATACGGCTATATTACTCTGTTTTCTTCATTCTGAACACTCCTATGTTCAATATTTTTTTTTTTTAAATTTTAATTGAATTGCAAATTTACGATTGCGAGAGGTAACTTAAAATTTAGGAAACAAGTTTGTTCTCGTATGATAATAAAGTATTTTCTCAAATTTTAGACTTTTGTTGGGACATAATTCCAATAATATCTAGTTAATAGCCATTAAATTCTATGTTTAAAAAAATATTTGGTATCTCTTACTCTTGTTATTTAGGTGTTGTAAATTTCTTGATTCTTCTTTTTGGTTGGCTGGTAAAATTTGTACTCCTTATGAAGGGTTTTTGCAAGTTAAAGGCTTCTGCAGACGGATCTCTTCAAAAGGTGTACAATTGTTCCCAATTCACATATTTTGCTCATATGGTGCATTATAGTATAGAAAAAAAGTATTTGCTCTGTTACTTTTTGCTTAAGTTAAGTTAGTTTAGCATTTTTTTTCAGTTTCATGTTCTAATTTTTGTCATAAATTCACAGGATAGTAGCTTCTTTCAAAACTACAGAATTTGATGTTAGTCTTGGTGCACGAAAACAGAAATGAAGAGAGAAGAAGACTTCTCAGAAGATATATAATTTCGATATGAATTCAGAAACCCAGGGGAATGAGGATTGAAAGCTATAGAAAACATGGATGTGGATTCCAAATGATGGGCTTTCTTTGAAAAATCGCACATACTTTTTTGTTTTGTTTTTTTTTTTTTCCTTTTTCTTTACCCTGATTATTCTGAATAGTGTAGAAATCTGAAATTTGCTCTTTGATTTATTCTTGGGAGGTGGAAATTGTGAGCACGGTATGGGTGTTATAGTGATCTAGTTAGTGAAATTTTGCAACATATGCTCTCATTCATCGTAATTTTTATCATTATTGATATTTAACATATTATTATAATCCCATCAAGAAATATGTGTTATAATTAATATTTAATCTCATATCATCATAATATATCATCCAAAGAGTAAGCCACACACCAGAAAGTTGAACAAAGATATTCATGACATGGATGCCAGGGGTCATATGTCCCTAAAGGCAGAGAAGGCACTGCTGCAAGGTCTTTCACCGGAAATTATTTATTTAGGCGGATTTTTATCTTATGCGAAAACCTCAATTTAAAGTTATTTCATAGTTTTTGGTTTGCTCTTGTACAGTTGTATATCTTTTCTAATTTTTGGATTTTGTTGGCATTAGTTGGTGGAGAGAGAAAAAATATTGCTCAGTGAGTTTTGATAAAAAAAAAAAAATGATTAGAGTTTACAGTAAATTAAAGAAGAGAAGAAGATGATGGCGTAAGATTTGTATTTTAATTAAAGATTACGATCGTTTTTAATTATAAGCAGTGATCGAATTTTACTTATTAATTTTAATACTCTTGTTTTTGGAAAAATCATTAATATTTTAATATTTAATTAAGTTTTAGTTTTAAGGGTATTTATGTAATTTTATTAGTAACCCATGCTTCGTACTTTTTTTAGTGGGGTTCGTACTAATCATACGTGTCACATTTTTATTGGTTGATGTTCAATCGTTTGGGTCCGAGTAGTACAAACCCTCTCGGACCCTAGACAACCCCATCTTTTTTGACTGAAAAGAAATAGTATGCAAACTATACGACTCACAAGGCATAATATAGAGTACAAAGCGTTGACAAGGGATGCAAACTCGAGTCATTTACACTGACTCTCTTGCTCCACAAACAGGGATGAAACAACTTATTTGAGGAGTACTGAAAAGCAATAACTTTATCTGCAAATACAAAAAAATAAATTATGATCAATATCAACGCTATTTCATTTGGGAGTAAGTCTGTAATAATGATATGAGACAATATAATCACGTGGCTCGTGACTAATTTTTTTTCTTTCTTTTTTCTAGTCTGTTTTTTCAACCGCCGGATTCCGCGGATTCTGGCGTTGACCGCGGGTCTCGGGCTTGGACTTTTTTTGTTTTTTTTAGGTCTGTTTTTTCCGCCGCCGGTGTCCGGCGTTGAATTGGTTTAGTGATTTTTTTTTCTCATAAAATTTTTATCCGTGTTTTTACACCCGCCACTAAACATTGACCGTAATTGTACTGTCATTAACCGTAATTATAGTGTCACTGACAATACATTAACGTAATTATACTGCCGCTGACAGTACATTAACGTAATTGTGCTGTCGTTGACAGTACAATTAGAATCAACGACAATATTATTATTTTTTTGGGTTTTTTTTTGTTTTTTTGATTTGTTGACAAGTCAACGTAATTATATTATTGTCGTTGACAGTAAAATAACTGTAAATACAATAATATTACTGTAAACCACATTAATATTAATATTTTCTTGGGTTTTTTGTTTTGTTTGAGTTGTTGACGGGACGGGGTACCGTAATAATATTACTATCTACTATTGTAATTTTACAGTAAAAACAATAATATTATTGTGATTGACGGTAATATTACTGTTGTTACAGTAATATTACTGTCAACAACAATAATATTAATTCTTTTGGCTTTTTATTATGTTTATATTTGTTGAACGGTCAACATATTAAAATTACTCTATTACAAAATAATAATGACTTTTAATGTGTTAATATTATTGTGCTAGAGATTAATATAGTAATATTACTGTGTTAAACTATAGTATAATTAATATTAATGTCAACCACAAAAATATTGTTGTTTAAACGGGGGGCAAAAAGAGTTTAAAGAAAAAAAAAAAAAAAAAGTCAACACCGGAGACCGGCGGTCAACGGCAGTGACGGACAAAATTGTGTTTTGGGTCAAAATTGAATAATTTGTGGAATTTGGGGTCAAATTGAGGTTATATTAAATTAAATGATGAAATTATAGCATATTAAAATGTGAGGTGCTATTTTAGTCTTTTACAAACCTTTGGACCATGTGTGGACTTTTTTGTAAAAAAGTTTTTTGTCTGCAACCCTTTATGAATAAGTACCCATTGATGGGCTTATTTGTAAAGTGCCGAAAAAATAATTTCCTAATGTTTTCATCTTCCTACACGATTTTCCACAAACCAAACAAAGCCTAGAATAATCATTTATTTATTTATTTATTTTAAGGGTCCATTAGATATACAGCCCTCATATGGAAAATATATACGGATAAGTCCACCCCTAAAAATCTTCATTTGAGATACACCTGGAGAGGCAAAAGTACTATTGTGCCCTTATTTGCAATTTTCGCCTAACTACATTCAACATTTTCACCAACTACATTTATCATTTTGGACCTGCATTTAGTATTTTTGTACTGCATATATCATAATTTTTAATTTAATTTTTTTTATTCCTGTATATATATTGTACCTTTATTATTATTATTATTATTATTATTATTATTATTATTATTATTATTATTATTATTATTATTATTATTATTATTATTATTATTATTATTATTATTATTATTATTATTATTATTATTATTATTATTATTATTATTATTATTATTATTATTATTATTATTATTATTATTATTATTATTGTATTTTTTTTATAATTTTTTTTAATATTTCGATTTTTTTTAATTTGTTTAATTTTTTAATTTTAATTTTTTTAATATAATTTTTTTTAATTTTTTATTAATTCAAATTTTGGTAAAATTACTGAACTGAAAGTATACTACACATGACTACAGTGTACCACAAGTTCAATAGTCATGTATAGTTATATTTAGCAAGGCTGTAAAAAACGGTAATCGGGTCGGAGGCGGTCAGGGACAAGTTCAATAGTCATGTATAGTTATATTTAGCAAGGCTGTAAAAAAGGTCGTTTTTTTTTTTTGTTTTTTTTTTCGATTTTTTTTTCCGGACTCTAGACAAAACTTAGACTCTAAGAAACCTCAAACAAAAAACATATTTCGATTTTTTTTGTTTTTGTTTTATGGACTCTTAATAAACAAAACGATAGAGACGAAACGAAAAAAAAATGTTTCAGCTGATGCGGCGATGTGTAAGATGTTTCGCACAACGCTCTCCGAACGAGCATTGAGTTGGTTCAACTCCTTGCCCACTAGGTCAATTGAAGCTCTCTCCCAACTAACGGGTCGCTTCACCCACCATTTCGCTATCAACAAAGAGTACGCTAAGACTCCCGCATACCTCTTCCATATCACCTAGAGAGAGGGCGAAACCCCCCGCAACTACATTCAACGATTTGTAGAGGCAGCTCACGAAGTTCCTAACGTGGGAGGAAGCATGCTCTCTGGAATCATTCAACAAAACTTGAAGCAAGGTAGATTTAATGAATCTATTGAAGGAAGACCTCCAGCCACTCTGGAAGAGTTACTAAGTCGCGTTGAGAAACACGTGCGCATCGAAGAGGCTTCGGCCCTACCTCCTCCCAAGAGGAAAAGAGATGAAGATCACTTCAACACCCGACGACGAGATGGCCGATGACAATCGTCGACATTGCATTGACAATCTCCTTCTACGTCCCTGGACTTCCAATGATGTCGATGACACTTGGAGTCTCTCGAGCCCATAACATTGTTAGTGATCGCATCATCCTAAACTGGGGGGCTATCCTACCTTAAGGATGATGCATCCCCTCATCTCTCTACATAAATTGGACGAAACACATACATCATCTACTTAGTACAATTTTAGTTATTTCGAGCAATTCGCTCCCTACTTGTTTAGTTACCTTCGCCTCAAGTGGACTTGTAACCTACACATTTCCAAGCAATGAATAAAGCAAGTTATTTCCCTTACACTCGGTGTTATTGCTCTGCCACTACATAATTATTAGCTCAAGTCAACATTAACTCTGGGAACACTTAGAGACGTTATGATAATCTATATAGCCTGGCCAGCTTGATTTCATAAACTTCTCTATCTGTCTTCATTGGGTCCTACATTTAAAACGTGGCCACGGTCCTAAAATACTTACTGTTGGCGCCAGATTTCTGTTAGTGAAGATTGAAGAAATCTGCCATACGTGAAAATTAAAGATTGGCAAAGATTTGTTCTTCATGTTTATTTTGGAATTAATTAGAGTCCTATTATTGTAATATTCTTATTATTAGGACTTAGATTTATTTCCATGTATTATATTATAGTTAGGTATCTTTTGTACTTATCTAGAATAGACGTAGAAATCGACTAGAATTCTATTACCTATTGAAATCGATTTCTTAGGGCTCAAGTTAGGTTTAGGGTGGTGAATTCCGTGCCTATATAAGGCCCTCAACCTCATATGAGTCCCATGGAGCTTTAATAAGAAAAATCACAGCATAAAGTTTTTGAGGGGTGTAGCCCGTGCTGCAGCCCTGTCGGCACATCAGGTGTGGCAACAGGACGGGTTTCTTCTACCAGGCCATAAAGAAGATCGGCGTTTCGGGAGAAGTGCTTAAAAGATCTCGGGAGAGGTCGATTCGCCGTTTGAAGGGAGTTCAACATTGGAAGGAGTCCAAGAGTGTGGATGGAGGAATTGCTTTGATTATCAACAAGTTCGAGCGTATGCAAGAACGGCGTATAACATAAAGAGGGAGTCTTTAGTGTTTTATTAAGTCCTATTAATGTACACTTTAAATCTGAACTAGTTTGCAAGTCCTCGTGGATGTAGGGTACGTTTGTATCCGAACCACATTAAATTCTTGTGTTTTTTATTCTGCTTTTAGTAGGTTAATTACTGTGACAACACGAAAATTCTGTTACCACACCTAATGTCGTAATACGTAATCTTTCTCAACAGATGAGTTGATTTTCATAGGCATTTAAAATCAACACTTACGACCCATGAGGTCTAACAAAGGGCACATTCCCCATCAAAAAATCTTGAGAGACTGATCCCCTAATCAAGTACATCACGCAGAATTCTAAATGTAAACACATACAAGCAAT